AACTTAAAGACAAAAAAAGAACACTATTGCAATTATTATCATACCTCAAATTGAAGAGAAGCATCTGAGGATCAGATTTTTATTTCTCAACATAGTCTCCATTTCGTTCAATAGCGACTGTCCACCTTTTACAAGTCCACATTATGCCAACTGCGTAAAACTGAGCAGGTTGGTCGTAGGGGTACAGCAGTCTTGATTTCTCCATCGTTTCCGTAGTGTTGATCTTTCAAAGGTTCTTTTCTATGACCGAAAAGGTGGAAATCTAAAGGAGCCAAATCAGGAGAATAAGTTGAGTGTGGCCGTGTTTTCCACATAAACGGGATGATTGTCTACCTTGTTCTGGTACTCAAATGCAGGTGGCATTGTCATGGTGAAAAAAACACTCTTTCCATATTCAAATTTGGTCTGACTAGTCGAATTCTCGTTTTCGGTCGTTTCAATGTTCCAATGTGGCTTTTAGAATTGACAGTTGCTCTTCGTGGTAAAGAAAAAAATCTGTGAGAAGCACGCTGTGAATGTCCCAAAACACAACTGCCTTGATTTTTCCGCTGACTCCCCGGGACGATGCTTGTCTCACTAGCGTATGGACACTTCTTCCTCCTCTTCCAGTCCTTTGCTTACACGTCTGAGCCATCTATATACAATGACAAAAACTAGAGCGTGGTCATTATAAACATTTTGAAGTCTGTTTTGGATGTTATTGGTGGATTCTCATTCTAAAACAAAAAATTCGATCATAGCTCTTTACCTCTGACAGACCCCCAAGAGGGTAGCCATTTTTATGTGACGTCATTCGGGCCAAAATTAAAGAAACTTAGATTTTAACACTTTGAGTTCAAAAGTATATGTGCAAGTATTTGTGAGCTGAATTTAATTAAATTTGAAGCAAAAATTTGCAAAAAAATGAACAACTTGCATTACTTTTGGACTCCCCCTCGTAAATAATGTTGATAGGGGCGTTAAACCTTTACTATTTCATATGTTCACAGTAATGGCCTTCAGACACCGGGCCAACGACTGCTCCTAGTACTGGTCACATAATATCAAATATTAGGCGAGAGAGCTGCTAGAATGTTAAAAATATAAAGTCTCCATTATGAAACGACAAGCAACAAAGTTTGAACCCACACCTCCCAGTACCAGGCTTACACTCAACAATTAAGGTTAATTAATTTACTGACAAAGGGCCAGTCAAAGAACTGAACTTGTCATTCTATACTAGCCAGCAACATGACGCCTCGTGTCACGGCTGTGCGGGAAAGCTTCATACTCGAACTGGCTTAGTGCAGAGAACCGGCCTCATACATTGTGCTGCACATTTTTTGTATTCCCATAACCGGCTACGTGCAAATTAAAAATGTCGGTTGTGGTATTTAAGAAAAATCAAGTAGTATTTGGTCCCTATACTTATAAAGGCGCGTTTTAACAATAATCAGTTCTTTGTCCTTCCTGTAGAATTTGTCTTTCTGCATGTAGTCGGTTTGTGGATAACACAGACGGATTGCCACATCTCACGACCCTGTGTTATCGCGTGACGCATGTGATACGAGTGTAAACAAACGTTCGAGCGCTCTTGAGTTGAAAGCATGCAATTTTGTCTGCGGGCAGTGAGAGTGAGAGAAAGAGAGAGAGAAAGAGAGAGAGAGAGAGAGAGAGAGAGAGAGAGAGAGAGAGAGACAGACAGAGAGGCAGAGAGACAGAGAGGCAGAGAGACAGAGATAGAGAAAAGGGGTGGAGAAAGAGGGAGACAGAGAAAGGGAGAGAGAAGGGGGGTAGAAAAAGAGAGGGAGAGAGAGAGAAAGAGAGAGAGAGAGAGAGAGAGAGAGAGAGAGAGAGAGAGAGAGAGAGAGAGAGAGAGAGAGAGAGAGAGAGAGTGGTGTTTGTTATTATAACAATATATATATATACAGATATATATATATATATATATATATATATATATATATATATACAGAGAGAGAGAGAGAGAGAGAGAGAGAGAGAGAGAGAGAGAGAGAGAGAGAGAGAGAGAGAGAGAGAGAGAGAGAGAGAGAGTGTTATTATAACAAGAACAATTGTTTCCTGCCATTTTCTCTCTGCGTCGGTTTTCAGGCTAACACGTTGCAATATAGTAGCTATTGTACACATATGACCAGTCTCATCTTCCGAATCTCACCTTCTTTGTCCCATCTCCTGTGTCCCATCTCTCACCTCTTGTTTTCCATGTACCGTATCCAGTTTTTCCATATACAGTATCCCGACTTTAAGCGCGTTTCGTTTTCCTTCATCTCATGGGGTGGAGCGCTTGCTACAGACCACAATGTTAGATGTAATATTCCTCACTGTCGTCACAATGTCCAAATCAGATGTGGTGTTCAAGCACATGTTTTTGATTAACAGCTTGATTTAATACCGTTTAATTCTGAACCAAGGTTTGCTCTCATTGAGATTTCTTTGATGTTTTCTCCTCGGAAGCGAGTTTATTTTTATTTTCCCTAAATGAACAATTCGTCCAGCACGACTACAGGGATCCATAATAATTATGATGTCAATTTGGTCTGATCATTTCAGTCAGAGCCAAACTTTTATGTAAGGGTCTCTTTACACGTACAGTTCATTCATAGACAAACAGTTTAACCGACGGACGCTAGATCTGGGTCATTGTTAAACTGACAGTTTGTTGATGAGAGAAGATTAGGCAGCATTTTTTGTTTTCAAATCCAAAAAGAAATCTAGAAAGAGGACCAACTGGGCTAAAGAATGGCTATTAAAAAGAAGTACCTACACACATTGTATTTCCACAATGCTGGCAACGTTCGATAAAGTTTGATAAACTGTAGTACAGAGTAGGCTATGCGGCGCTTTTTCGGTAATTCTCACTCCCCAATTACTACTCGTCGCCGGCTTTGGCCCCAAGAGTAGATCTAGGGGGTTTCAGGGGGGGCAACTAAAAATCTAATTAAAATATGGAGGGGGTGGGGGTTCAGGGGGGCATTACCATGACTTGATGTCTTGCGGCTAGGTTATCTCTCGGTTGCCGCGAACCAAACATAGCCTATCGATCTATGAGTAAATCTAGATCTAGATCTAGGTCCAAATAAGCGGGGTGGGAATTGTACACGGATACTGTAGTAGAACAAGAAGACCTGTGCTATAGTAAAATTGGTAGCATGTAGACAAAAAGAAATAAACAGTACTGTCTTGACTTGATAGATAAAACAATGGTGTATAGCCCTCAGCTGACTCCAACACTCGGCGGTACACGTCACACGTGTGACACATTATTTGCCTCCACTTTCAAAAATGAAGGTAAAACAAAAGAAAACACTCAAAAAGAATGCAACTTGGTAATCTGGTATTAAATTTGGCTCCCCGCGTAACTTTACTAATTTTGGGTCGCTGATCCTGTCAATGTTATTATTTTTTTTATTTACCGAATATATAGGAAATTTTTGGAATGCATTTTCAACACCGCCTGGGGCAACATCAAAGAAGCCGATCCCTCGTCGTCAGCCCTTCAGTTCGCCGGATGACAAATATCTGGTAGTTGAACTGAAAACCCTTCGATATTAAGAGGAATTCTCGTTTCCACGCTCAGATATACCGGGAAGTTGACAGAATGCCGGCCATCCTTTCGATAGCCTACAGTTTGTCGATCAACTAACTGTACGTCTAAATGGGCCTTCGGCCTCCATAGAAACGTGACAATCTGACAAGACTATATCCAAAACGCTCTGTCGAGAGAGGTAATGTGACGCTATTTTGATAGCACCCGTATGATGGGGAAACATAGTTGTTAATTGATATCACTAAGAAGAGACAAGGACAGTTTGAATCTGCCAGATAGTGTTATAAAAGATCGTTACATCAAGAAAGTGTAATGCAAGACTGTGTGCCGCCACAATACATTCACTTCTTAAGTTGGACAAAGATATTTAGTCACTCAGCACTATGTTATTACATAGATTACTGAAAGTGGTAACGACTGACCCAAAAATAGACATTAGTGATTTTGATTTTTTAAAAGTTAAGACCTTGTCCAGCAGCTAAGACGTACATGAAGTTCTAGAATAAGTCTATTTTGTTCTTTGCTACAGCTTGGCACTGACGAAAAATATACATTACATCCGACGCTGAAAGTGTAACGACCGACCCAAAAATTGACCTGAGTGATTTCGATTTAAAAAGATCGTTTCTAGCTACTTAGAACAAAGTTGTTGTTTACTGCAGCTTTGCACAGTAGTAATATTCTGTAATTAATAGGACGTCGACCAGTGACTAACTACCACACAAAAAAACCATCGTTGCGATATCAAATGACTGGACCAAAAAAAACAACAGCCCGAGTTCGATCTGTGATCTTTCTTAGTTTTGTTTGTTGATTTTCAGTTTTCTTTTCTGCCTTCTCATCCACAGCAACCCCCCCCCCCCCACACACACACACAAAACAACTACAAAAAACAAACAAACAAACAAAATCCTTTGTCCTTTTTTCCTTTTGTTCTTTTTGTTAGTTTGCTGTTGTTGTTGGCTAATTTGTTTTATCTTTTATAAACAATCCCAGCAATGTTTATTCCATAGAATAGCCTGTACCATTCTGCATCTCCTCTTCTCCTCCTCAAGCAAAGTTATACACGCGCACGTACACACACACACACACACACTCTCTCTCTCTCTCTCTCTCTCTCTCTCTCATACACACACACACACACACACACACACACACACACACACACACACACACACATACACACACACCACCCCAAGCTGTCAGCGATGAAACCAACCTCGAATCCCCAAGTGACGCAGCCCATCACGCGCTAAACGGGCCCGCCACGGCGTGCTGCAAAAGCACAAAAATGAATTGCAATGTCTTGGTAGTAGAGAATCTTTGGTATAAGTCACTTACTTAAAATAACTTTCCACAATTTCAAATTTCCCAACACTACCAACCAAACATTGCAAAACTGACAGAAAGAAATTATAACCGTTGGCCTTTTCTTTTTTGCCACATGGTTTACCAACTATTTCATCATGCTTTTTGGGCCTTAGAACGAGGGCGACAGAAGGGATTGATCCAGTAATTGTTTCAGATCAACGAGCGCGTTTCACTTCATGATCAGATCTTTTGGTGTAGACCTATCAAACTAAAGCTTTATTGTACTTAATTCGGTGTCTAGCAGAGGATTTAATCAAAAGTTAGAAAAGGAGCAAGAGTACATAGTCTACAAGCTGTCTAAAATGGAGTTTGTGGGTATGAAATCCATCAAAAAGAACCCGTCTATCGACATGGATGACAAGTGCACTGACTGGGTGGCCACAGAGAAGGTAAGAGAAACGTCCTTTTATTCATTTTGTTTTTGACATATTATAGCCTATAGCCTAGATTTCTGTCTAGCTCTAGGCCAATGAGTATTGTTTAAAAATATTTTGACTGATGTAATTTACATTAATTTCTAGGACTCTGGCACAGGCGCACGTTCTTTTTGGGCCTATGGGTTTGTGTGTGTGTGTGTGTGTGTGTGTGTGTGTGTGTGTGTGTGTGTGTGTGTGTGTGTCTGCTTGTGGGTGGGTGTGTCCTTGCGTGTGTGCTTGCATTGTATGAGAGAGGGTAGTAGACCAGTAAACCAGTGTTTGCTCCAGAAATACTTAAAGGTGAATCACAATCCTTGATATAGAATACTTTTTAAAATAAAATTATGCGTCTCCTTGGTGTAAAAACCTATCTTATATGAAAACCCCGTCGTTTTCTTATCCCCCTATGATCAACGGAACATAATACTAAGTTAAAGAATATGCCTATTATGTAAACATTTTACGCCCTCATCAACACAACTTAGGTCATTCAGGAGTCGGGCCTCTTCGACCATGGATGTCTGGACCAAACTGGCTGAGGGGGATACAACGTTCCAGTAGAAAAATATATATTAGAACTGTTTGTTTTTTTAAAGAAAAACAACAACCCCACCTTCTCGTATGAGAATTGAACTCACATCTTATAATATTTGTAACGGCTAAACAGCGCTATACCATAGACGCCTATTACTTTGCGCAAAGGCGATAGCGCTGTGGTCGAACAAAGACACAGATAATATACGTATGCACCGTGCATGCAAGGAGATTTGATTAAAAGTATTTTCTATTCGAATGAAAGTTCCCTGTCAAACACCAGTCTTATCTCGGCAGGCTAACGGCTTTTGTAATACTGTTATTTATTGTGTCTCTTCCAGGTCCATGGTTCGAGTTACCAGTTCTACACCAGCGACGGAAACACAGTCATCGCCGGCAGCCGACGATACCCTTTGGAAGACAAAGGCTCATTTCTCAAGTGCAATACAGCTGAGTTCAAGGAAAGGTGAGTTTCCAGGACAGTCTGGAGCGAGGTAGAATATGTAGCAAAAGTTAAGATAAAAATAATGAAACGCTAAGATTTAGATCTAAGCATTAAAATTGTTATAATGTCAGCCAGCTGCATATCAGATCGACCAAGTCCAAATGCAGTTAGATCTACTCAAACTGTTGTATCGGTTGCGTGTGCTGAAGAAATCTTGTAAAAATTCAAATTATCAATGCTAAAAAAGCAATAAAAACCCCACAAAAAACATAATGTAAGTACACTTTAAAAAATAAAGCTGTGTTTTTCTCTCTCTCCGGAAACCTTTTGCTTTTTGGGCTTAGTACGTTTGAACAGCGAGCAACCATATCCGGTCTTTAACGACAGCCCCACACACAGAAAACTGAGAACCGACTTTGCCTAGTCAACGGTCAACAAATACTTTTTGATAACGTATCAGGCCCAAACTGGTAAAGTGGACCATGTTGTGTCCTGGTTAGCCTTTTTTTTTGGGGGGGGGGGGGGGTTTTTTTTA